GGTCATTACATACTCATCACAGGCAAAATCTATCAAGAGGAAGTGTCTATCCTGAACATCTATGCCCCAAATACAAAGGCATCCACATTCATAAAAGAAACATTACTAAAACTTTAATCACATATAAAGCCCCACATACTTACAGTGGGAGATTTCAACACATCACTCTCACCACTAGACAGGAATACCAGACAGAAACTCAACAAAGAAACAAAGAGTCTAACAGAAGTAATGACCCAACTGGGATTAACAGACATCTACATTTCATCCACATAAAAAAGAATATACCGTCTTCTCACCACCACATGGAACCTTCTCAAAAATCGACCACATACTTGGCAACATATCAAACCTCAGCAGCTTCAAAAAATTGGAATAACTCCATTCATCTTATCAGACCACCAAGCTTTAAAATTAGAATTCAACAATAACACAAATTGCAGAAAACCTACAAACTCATGGAAATTGAATAATGCACACTGCACCATTCCTGGGTCAAAGAAGAAATAAAAAAAGGAAATTAAAGACTTCCTAGAATTCAATAAGAATGAGGACACAACATACCCAAACCTATGGGACACTTTGGAAGCAGTGCTACGGGGGAAGTTCATAGCACTAAGTGCCCACATGAAGAAACTGGAGAATAGTTATACTAGAGAATTAACAGCACAGCTGAAAGCTCTAGAACACAAAGAAGCAAACTCCCCCAGGAGTAGATGCCAGGAAATCGAGGGCTGAAATCAATAAAGTAGAAACTAGGAAAACAATACAAAGAATCAATGCAACGAAGAGTTGGTTCTTTGATAAAATCAACAAGATAGACAAACCTTTGTCCAAACTGACAAAACAGCAGAGTGTGAACATGCAAATTAACAAAATCAGAAATGAAAAGGGGGACATAACAACAGACTCTGAGGAAATTCAGAGAATCATCAGGTCATACTTTGAAAACCTGTACTCCACAAAATTCAAAAATTTAAAGGAAATGGATGACTTCCTGGATAGCTATAACTTGCAAAAATTAAATCAAGAACAGATAAGCAATTTAAATAGACCTATAACCCCTATGGAAATAGAAGCAATCATCAAAAATCTCCCAACCAAAAAAAGCCCAGGTCCACATGGCCTCAGTGCAGAATTCTACTAGAAATTCAAAGAACAGCTTATACCAATTCTTCTCAAAGTATTCCACGCAATAGAAGCAGAAGGGTCTTTGCCAAACTCTTACTATGAGGCTTCAATAACCTTGATCCCCAAGCCACACAAAGACACAACTAAGAAAGAGAACTTCAGACCAATATCGATGCGAAAATACTCAATAAAATACTGGCAAATCAGATCCAAGAACATATCAAAACAATTATTCACCACGATCAAGTAGGTTTCATCCCAGGGATGCAGGGAAGGTTCAACATACGAAAATACATCAATGTAATCCACCATATAAACAAGCTGAAATACAAAAAATCACATGATCATCTCATTAGATGCTGAAAAAGCCTTTGACAAAATCCAACACCCCTTCATGATAAAGGTCTTGGAGAAATTTGAGATAACAGGAACATACTTAAACACAATAAAAGCTATATACAGTAAACCAGCAGCCAACATCAAACTAAATGGACAGAAACTCAATGCAATTCCTCTAAAATCAGGAACAAGACAAGGCTGTCCACTCTCTCCATGCCTTTTCAACATTGTACTTGAAGTTCTAGCCAGAGCCATACGACAACAAAAGGGGACCAAGAGGCTACAAATTGGGAAGGAAGAGGTCAAACTTTCACTATTTGCAGATGATATGATAGTTTACATAAATGACCCAAAGAACTCTACCAGGGAACATTTACAGCTGATTAACACCTTCAGCAAAGTGGCAGGCTACAAGATCAACTCAAGAAAATCAGTAGCCCTACTATATACAGATGATAAAAGGGCTGAGAAAGAAATCAGAGAAACACCACCCATTACAATTGCCACAAACAACATAAAATACCTTGGGGTAACGCTAACCAAACAAGTGAAAGACCTGTATCGCAAGAACTTTGAATCTTTAAAGAAAGAAATTAAAGAAGCCCTCAGAAAATGGAAAGATCTCCCATGCTCTTGGATAGGTAGGATCAATGTAGTAAAAATGGCAATCCTGCCAAAAGCAATCTACAGATTCAATGCAATCCTCATTAAAATCCCAGCACAATTCTTCACAGACCTTGAAAGAACAATAATCAATTTTGTATGGAAAAACAAAAGACCCAGGATAGCCAAAACAACCCTGTTCAACAAGGCAATGTCCGGAGGCATCTCCATCCCTGACTTCAAGCTCTATTACAGAGCTATAGTCCTGAAAACAGCTTGGTATTGGCACAAAAATAGACAGGAAGACCAATGGAATTGAATTGAAAACCCTGATATTAACCCACACACGTATGAACATCTGATCTTTGACAAAGAAGCTAAAATATACAATGGAATAAAGAAAGCATCTTCAACAAATGGTGCTGGCATAACTGGAGGCTGGCATGTAGAAGAATGCAGATCGATCCATGTTTATTGCCATGCACAAAACTAAAATCCAAATGGATCAAAGACCTCACCATAAATCCAGCCACACTGAATCTCTTAGAAGAGAAAGTGGGTGGTACCCTTGAACGAATTGGTACAGGAGACAGCTTCCTGAACATAACACCAGTAGCACAGACAGTGAGGTCAACAATTAATAAATGGGACCTCCTGAAACTGAGAAGCTTCTGTAAGGCAAAGGACACAGTCAGCAAGACAAAAAGGCAGCCCACAGAATGGGAAAAAATATTCACTAACCCCACATCTGACAGAGGGTTGATCTCCAAAATTTACAAAGAACTCAAGAAGCAAGTCTCCAAAACAGCAAAGGACCCTATTAAAAAGTGGGCTGCAGAACTAAATAGAGAGTTTTCAATAGAGGAGTCTAAAATGGCTGAGAGGCACTTGAGAAAGTGCTCAACATCCTTAGCCACCCGGGAAATGCAAATCAAAGTAACTCTGAGATACCATCTCACTCCTATCAGAATGGCTAAAATCAAAAACACCAATGACAATTTATGCTGGAGAGGATGTGGTGAAAGGGGAACACTCCTCCATTGCTGGTGGGAATGCCAACTTGTTCAGCCACTTTGGAAATCAGTATGGAGATTCCTCAGAAAAATGGGAATAAACCTACCACAAGACCCAGCAACTCCACTCTTAGGCATATATCCAAAAGATGCCCATTCATACAACAAGGATGTCTGTTCCACTATGTTCATAGCAGCATTATTTGTAATAGCCAGAACTTAGAAGCAACTTAGATGCCCCTCAACCGAAGAGTGGATAGAGAAAATGTGGTACATTTACACAATGGAGTACTATTCAGCAGAAAAAACAATGGAATCCTGAGATTTTCAGGCAAATGGATGACACTAGAAGAAACCATCCTGAGTGAGGTAACCCAGTCACAAAAAGAGAAACATGGCATGTACTCTCATATATGGATTTTAGGCATAGATCTGGGGAGTGCCAGCCTACAATCTCATGGCCAGAGAGTCTGGGAAACAGAAACCTTCATTCAGTGGCTGATGGAAGAAGAGGCAGACTCCCATGGGTAAGCACTGAGCTGAACTCAAGAAAGTAACAGAGAGGGAGGACTGATGACCAAAGGGAATAAGACTGGGCTTGTTTAACCCCAGAAACAGCTGACCTGACAAGGGTTAACTGTTGAATCCCAGGCTGATGCCTGGGAATCCAGCATGGGACTGATCAAGAGCCCCTGAATGGGGGTGTCAGTGAGGAGGCCTAGGTAATCTATTGAGCCTTGGGCAGTAGATCAGTATTCATCCCAAGTACACACATGCACTTTGGTGTCCCATCCAACAATGTGAGATGCACTCTCACCCTGAACTCTTGGGGGAGGGTCTAGGCCCTGCCCTGGATGAAATGACAGACTATGCACACCCCTATAGAGGGCCTTACCCTCCCTGGAGAAAAGAGGGGATATTGGGGGAGGGTTAGGGGGAGGGCAAGGGAGGAGGGGAGGGAAACGGAGAGGGTCCTGGAACTGACTTGTGAAGCAACCTTGTTTATAATCTAAATTTAAATTTAAAAATACATAAGAAAAAAGAAAAAAGTCTTGGATTCTTTTTGAGATTAACGCTAACATACAGATGCTAACAATTATAACATGAAGCAGCAAGCAGTGTTGACATTGTGGCCTTGATGACATAATCACATCAGGAGACTTCCCAGGGTTACTGAATATGTTTCTTAGTGTCTTAGTGCATCTGTCTCTGTATCTGTAACATGAGTTCAGTATTTGCTACCTTAAAGGTCATTATGACATTAAAGCATGTAGCTCACTACCCACTAAATAAAGCTGATTATTGCTTATGTGACTATTCATAGAGCCCTAACAACCCTACTTGCAATAAAGACTGACAGATATAGATACTAAGTATATTAGATGATTTTCTTATTGCTGTGATCAAATATCTACAAGATAGGAAGGGAGAACTTATGTTTGGTTATAGCCATCTTAGTAGGGGAGAATGGTGATGGGGGAATCTGTGCAAATGGGAATGAATGCCAGATGCTTGCTAATATACTAGTGGACTAGAAACTGGAAAGAAGACAGGAAGTTGGGCTTGATTATATACCTCAAGGTATGACCCTAATGACCTACTTCCTCCAGCTAGGTGCCACCATTTCTCAAAAGAGTGCCACCATCTGGTGACCAAGTATTCAAACATGTGAGCCTATGGGGGGCACTTTACACTGTAGCACTGAGCACAAGTTAAGGGATCTTTATTGGGTGACAGAGTGAGAAACTCACAGAAAAAAGGTATAAATGAAGCTTCTCTAAACCTGTTGCTCTTCCTACCAAATCATCTCATGGGATTTAGGCATTTTTATCATTTTAACATAAAGTATACACTATGAGGCTCAGCTATTTTCAGCAATAAAATAGAGGGTGGAAGCTTTCACAAGGTACTTACCTGACCAAAGATGAAGTCCATCAAAGCCATAGGAGTAGAGGTCATCACCGACGCCATTGCCTCCCCATCCTTCTCCACCTCCAGGGTATGGGGCATAGCCTGAGGAGGAGGCCCAGCCCACTCGGAGATGTGTGGGCTCTGCTGTTAGGAAAGGTTCCACCTGGTCGATAATTAACTCAAAGTACCACTTCTTGTACTGTGGTGAGCCTTCAGCAACTCCCAGGAAGATGTTTGGCCGGATACTGAAATTAAACATGGGGGATAGGCTGCTTCTGCAGAGAGCAAACAACTAAAAGAACAATTGAACCAGACCCAGGAGGAGGCATTAGCTCAATTAAAGTTGGGCCAGAGCATTTTTAATCATTTTATTTTGTTATTGAACAGCCTTCAGCATGTGGCCAAGTTCTTAACATTATGGGGATAGAAGTCATTTCTTATAAGATATAAAGGTGGCTTTTAAATATGCAATTCAAGGCAACACGTCTATGGAATGCCAACCAAGTACAACAGGGATATAAATGTTACAAGGGTTGCATGATTGCCAACCTTTGTGTCTTTTTTTTTTTTTTGGTTTTTTTTGAAACAGGGTTTCTCTGTGGCTTTGGAGGCTGTCCTGGAACTTGCTTGGTAGTCCAGGCTGGTCTCGAACTCACAGAGATCCGCCTGCCTCTGCCTCCCGAGTGCTGGGATTAAAGGCGTGCGCCACCAACGCCCGGCCCCCTTTGTGTCTTTCTATAAGAAGGAGAAATCACTTACATGATCTCCATCTTCTGGTACAGGCTTAAGTACAATAATTTACAAACCAACAGTTTTTGTTCCTTAAGCATAATTAATACTTAAAAAGCAGTAAGAAGTCACCACTAGCCAACCTTGTTGAGGTTGAAAACACTGTGGGACAGACAACTTGGACTTCTCAATGTTTGGCTTATACCTGAAGAGAGACTCTTTCTGGGCTTGCATATGTTCAAGACAGACACATCTAACTCAGGCGGTGTTAAGATGTCTGTGAAAAGGAAGTTTGTGTTTTGTTCTGGGCTTTGGAAGGAAGTTTTGCCTCAATACTGCAGATCAGGATGTGGACCTCATGGAAAATGGAAGACAAACACAAGGCCTGCCTGGTTCTGGGAGGTCACCTGAGCCCCATGTGGCCACATGTAGGGACATGGTGGGCTGGAGGGTTGGTTGGGCTTGTCTTGACTCTCACAGACATCAGCAGGTAAATGTCCATGTGTCCTTGAATGTAAGCAACTGCAGTAACAATGTGGGGCATACATTATACTAAAATGTTTTGGATATGAATATATCATGAAGGAAAAACAAAAGTGAATTGATTTTTAAAATGAAACTTCAATCATTAGAATGCACTTATCTTCCATTCTCAGATATTTTAAGGGTAGTTTTGCAAAACTCCCCAAAAGGAGCTGGGGACATGGTCCTAGTCATAGAAAGTGTACCTCTGCATGGTCTGGTCTTACTTGCTTGAGCTGCTACAAAACCTCTTCCCTACTTAGAGACACATTCGGATTCTGGAGTGACGGTAGTGACCCTACCTGGTGACATCATTAATTAGCCGTGTCTGCAGCAGCAGGTTCCTCCGGGGTAGTAGGTTGTCACAGATCAGATTCTGGTTGGCTCTTACCGCGACCCCATTGCAGAGACAGAGGGAACACAGGACATCGAGAACCTGCCAGAGGACACACCGACCCCTAAACCTCAGCTCCAAGAGGAGGGGTACAGTATGCAGAGCTTGATCACCATCACCCACAAAAGTAGCAGGGGGCCTGTAGGGTAGGGGTGATCAAAGGGTATATGGAGAAGCAGTCTAGAGCTGGGAGAGTGTTACTCAGCAGGAGTGACTGATGCTCCAACAGCAGTTGCTGCTGGGAAAGTGAGCTCTGGCATCCTTCCAGACCACTGCCTTAGTCTTACGCTTCATCTCTCCAGACTGTGCACTCCACCTGTGGTCAAATTCTCTTACGGTGAGAACCTAAACTGTGGAGACATGCTGTCCAGACAGGGTCAGTACTACAGTATGGTGAGATTCTCAAGGCACCAAATCCAGTCACTGCTCACTTGCCCAGTCATTAAATCAAATGCTGTCCATGGGTCTTGCAACCCAGCTTCACACTCTTACCCAACCCGAATGCACTGAGGATTAGTGAGGTGCTCAGAGAGCTGAGAATGATCAACATTCAGAGCCCATTTGCTTGGGATCTGGAATGCAGCATGTTTGTAACCCTCAGGCAGTGGTGCAGACTCCAGTTCTTGGATATCTTGCTGTGATATCATCAGAGTGCATTAAGATGCCCATAAGTTCCTAAAAGCCAGTGTTCAGAGAGTTTCACCAACTCTCTTCCTCCCACCTGGAAGCAGAGCAAATCTGCAAGAACCTAGGTAATTCATAAATCTGAGAAACTTGTCACCAAGCCACCACGGCTGTTTCCAGCTGCCTGGTATGTGGAAAAGGCCCTCTACCTCTGCTTCCCCCTCCATGCTGTCATCACATTTACTCTATCTCATTGTACCCTGTCCCCTTATATTCAGATTTTCTGTTTGCACCACAGCAGAGCAAGCAGTGCCAGCAGGCACTATTCCTCTCTTCTGCACAGGGAGGAATGTGAAAATAGCAGTCAGTAAATAAGAGCCATACTGACAGGAAGGTGGGCAAATACATTTCAGTCTTTTGAAGTGGTCACTGAAGACCCAGTACTTGGCAAGGTTGGATACCTTACGGTTGTTGATGGCATTTGTGTCTATAATTCTCACAAACCAATTTTCTACCTGACTCCCTGAATGTCAATTTCATTCCAGACAAATACAGAGCACATTTATGGGACAAACAGAAAAAGAAGCCCCAAGGCAGCTTTACAGGGCACTCTTACCATTACCACTTCATGACAGATATCGGCTGTGGAAACTCGAAATCCAGAGGGTGATTTCTCATTCTAAGCAAAGAGCCTTGGATGGCCGGAAAATTAAATACTTTCCATTGGGCCTATCATACACTTTCATCTGTTTTGCTTTGGAGTGATAGCTGCGGGAACCTTGCTGTCACGGCCAGAGCAAAAGCTGAGTTTAATACACAGATAATAGCAACAGCAAAGAGAAATAAAGACAACAAGAAGCATACAGCCCGACAGAGCAATGCTCACCTATCAACAGCTGACCATAAAGATGACATGTCTTCATGTATAATGGGGGAACGGGGACACACTTCTTTCTGAGAGTATTTAAAGGGACTCATTTCAATGAGAAGCAGGTGTAGATGGACTGTACCACGAGAGCTCACAGGCATCTTGACTAGAAACCATCTGTGCTTGCTAATTCCTCAGCAGCCCCTGCGAAGCTTGCCTGGTAAGTTAGGTTCTGCCGAGTGGTCCCCAGACTCTGTATCCTTCTCTTCCTGATCTGATAAGGTCTACCTTGTAGATATGTGGGGTCATGAAACTGAGTTTTTCTCAAGAGCAATAGGGTGTATGTGATGACGTCTCCCCAACTATCTTAAGTGTTCTCTAGTCTTCCCTCTGCATACAGATCCGATGTAGGGTTTACAGTGCCAGGGACTCCATTCTCAGATTCCTAAGCTGGCAGCTCTGATGGGACTGGGAGCTTGCTAGAAACAGAGGTGCACAAATTGCTTTGCTAAGCTTCAGCCTCCCCCCCCCCATTCTAAATCAAAGCCTTCATGTTATAAGAAGTTCCAGCGATGTCTAGATTTGTAAGCCCATGGCGGCTAGAGAAGCCCTGAGAGAACTTGTGTCTCTGAACAGACAGAGTGGAGCCTTGCAACTAACGGGCTCTGGACAGTGATGTGAGTCAAAGCCCTGTATGCTAAGCTATTGAACACAGGCATGTTTTAGACTTCCTTAATCAAAGACCCATTAGTAGAGCTGAATAATTTTCATCACATTTCTTCCAACAGGCATCCATTGATCTTTGTGTCCTTCAGGCCATGTGGGAAACATATACTCATATGGGGATCCTACTTTAAAGAAAAGAAATCTATATTAAATATCAATGCAAACATTTGGATGTTTTATTGCCATTAGTCTTTATGTGTAAAAGCAGACTTATTTTAAAATGTAAAATATCTAGTTTTGGATTTTTACATCAAGCTACACATTGGATCAAAGAGTGTTTCCAGCCCCCTGGGATCAGATTTGTTTCCCCTGTGGATGAGAACGGAGTGGCTGACAACCATTCTCTGCTGCTGTGGCTGTCGTGAAACAACTGACTGATGCTCAAAGCTCCAGAGCAATGGTGTGGGAGTTAATGATTTGTTTACTTACATTCTATCCACCACCAGCGCAGGCTAAACTTTTGCTTCCGATTCATTCTTTCCAGGGACGAGTGAGATTACTATTTTACCATATATTTTTCTCACAAGTGACTCAAAATTATTGTGAAACAAAAAGATAACAAAATATTTATCAGCCATAAGCTTGAGTAGATTGGGGCAAGTTATTAGGGAAGCAAGTAGATGAGTACACTATAATTATTAATTATTATTTTAGTAATAAAAGCAGCTCTGTGGGAAAATATAGTATAAATGCTATAGTTTTTTAATCAGTTATTCTTTTTGCCAAAAAAACTAGTGCTAGTGACATTTCACTGATTTTCCTTTTGTTTTGTAAGATAAGCCATGTACACATGTACAGCCTCCCTCATCAACTCAAGGTGAGGCAGAAATGGATTTGAGTTCTATTCACTTACTAATTTTGCTTATTAAAATTTTGAGAGGCACGTATGGATGTTTGCATCATCAAGTATATGAGCTTGACCCTGTACTGGTCACAATCATAGTTCCTATCATGAGATAACTTATAATGGGTAAGAGAACTATTCCGTGAAATTAACTACAGTGAAATGCAAAGCAGAATAGCTGTTATAACATTTAAAAATGTTGTGTAAGAGTAGAGATGAGATCAATTACAACTGGGATTTTTGAAGTTTCATGGAAGGAGTGTAATTGAAATTAAGTTTTGAAGAGAGGACAAAAGTTTCGGTGTTGCTTTTTTAATGCTGATATGTCCTGGAAAATTCGGAAGGGAGGAGGATGGATTCACAAGAATAAAATCACTGAGCGGTAGGCTGGGCGTTGGTGGCACACACATTTAATCCCAGCACTCGGAAGGCAGAGGCAGGCAGATCTCTGTGAGTCCGAGGCCGGGCTGGACCGACAGCCTCCAAAACAATACAGAGAAACCCTGTCTCATAAAAACCAAAAAAAATCACTGAGAGATCCAAGGTGAGAGTGCATGCAACAGGAATGGAGTGGATCCTATGCCCACTTCTCTTCTTTCCATAAAGATTGTGTTCTTTTGTATAACTTGTGATCTCAGGTGAGGTAAAGCTTCAGATGACAAGCAATGCTTTCTATATAGTGACCAAGCTACCAACTTAATCAGGATACAGAAGAAGTGGGTGTGGAACCATTGCTGCACACACATACGGTCCTGATTCTGAGCAAATGGCTGGAAGTGCTATGGGACAAGAATGGATCCCAACCTCCACTATGTACACAAACTCTTTAAAAGTCACTCTCATGGATAATGGGAGTCCTCAAGCTTCAGGGTTAGTATATGATGGCCTTTAATTTTAGGGGTTACACTTTGAAGAACTTTATATCTAGGTAATTCTAAAAACAAAATATCCTCCCAGGATAATTGGAACATAGGACTATCTTCACTCCCTTCAGCTTGAGACACTGGTAAGAACTATAAATGTTTGCTTCCAACATGTCATCAACTAGCCTAGAGGCCCCTGGAAAACTGCTGAATTCCAAGGGCCCACATTCTACACTTTCTGCCTCTGCCAAAAGGAAATAATAAGAACACCGCTTCTGAGGGGGCACAGTGAAGGGTAAAGAGGATGTGTGTGAACACCGAAAGCAGTACCTGGCATCCCAAGAGGGCAAAAGAAATGGTATTTGTCACTGCTATCATCGCTACATCATCAACAGATGACTGCTCACATTCACTGTGACTCCAGAATTCTACATATTGTGAGTAACTCTCTTCACGGAAAACTCAGTGAATAAGAGACTTTCTACGCTGAGGCTACAGAAAGCACAGAACAGTGGATAGAGGAACACTTCGTTGGCATTTCCTAAGCAAAAGCGAAGTGTAAGAGTAATCTGGCCTACACTCAGCAAGTTCTTTGTAAAATTACCCCTAAGATACAAATGATAATTTGAGCCTAGGATACTCATGGCACAAAAATCTATGAAATATTGAAATAGGGCACCCTTGATCGGGCTGTTTTGAAGCAGGGTTTCGCTCAAATGCATAGTCCTCCCACCACTTTGGCTCACCAGGCCTCCCTTTTCTCAACTGTGGAATGGAATGGGCAGAATAACTGTCTCGTTGCCATCAACTGCCATCCAATTAATGCTTTTTGGATGTGGGAAGTGGTAAGGGGACTGGCTACTTTTGAAGTGCTTTACATGGGACGACTGTAGCGAGGCCCCAACGTAGTGAAACCAGGGCAACCTCCTTTGTATGACTTCTTTGTCTTCAGTGCTAGACTGTGGCTCAAGCCATGCATTTCTTCTATGTTATCAGTTAGTCTTACTACATTTTTGCAGACAGGGAGGAACATGTTGGAATGTACAGAAGCTGGACGAAGGCTCAAGCCTCACGCTTGCTTTTGATTTACCACATCTGAGAAAGCAATTACAAGCCCCACATATTTTTCTTCTTTGCCAAGCAATTTCACAGATGTTAAAGACCATAGCTTTTCTGCTTCCTCAGGCTGGTGCATATCATGTAGTCAGTGCTGCAGGGGCTCCTTTTCCTGGACTGAATCACATCCCCAAATATAGTTCCATTCCCACAAAATGATGGTAGGAGAGAGCTGGGGACTACGCATCACCCTTTAGAATTCCTGGCAGCTCAGGTATACCCCATATGACCAATCAAATCACACACTCCTAAACTTATAGATCCTAGAGTGAGAGCCAATCTTCTTCAACTGGCCCCACAGTGAGATGTATGTTATAGGCTAATGATAATGGGCTGGGCTTAAGAAGCTGGTGAAACCCAGATCATTTAAGATTTAGTGAGGCTGGCTGTCTTGGAGTGAGTCTGTAGATTTTTCAGAGTCCTGGTTTCTCAAAGCATTTGCCAAAATCAACGAGAGTCTACACATCATGCTTCCAACAACACAGAATGGATATTAGTGTGAGGGAAAGAAAAGGCAGGAAAATAAACCTCCAGGAGAGGCCTTCCTGCCATACCCACCTTGTGATTCCGGCCATGCTTATCCAGGAGGGAGATGATGGACTTGATGTGACCCTCTGCTATCAGGTTTAAGGCTTCTGGGCTTTCAGTCAAGATGCAGTGCAAGACCTCCAAGATACCTGCATGGATGTCATGACAATCACGGGTCATTCAGTGAGCTGCAGAACTTGCCAAATTTAGAAACCCGAGACTAAAAGGAACATCCTAAGGGGCCAGAATGCCACAGTTGGTTGACTCTACTAAACTTTCCTAGCCAGAAGACAGATGTTGTCATTTCTGGTAGATTCCAGGGTCCTGAAAGCCTGTAATTTAGAGGTGGGTTTAATTCAACACTAACTTAATTCTCTGTCTCGTAGACAGTAGCATGATTTTTGTCAGATATAGGGAAGCAGTTGTAAAGTGGGATTCTTAGATGGACCAAACCAGACAGTACTTCATTTAAATACAAATATATAAGCACTCTCCCAATTTACCTATAGCTCACCAAGATCATGCAAGCAGTTTGGAAATATTCTGACTTTATCCTCAGATTAAGTGCTTTTCTAAGAACAGAAATTCATGGCTATTTTTGATGTCCTAATGTAGCTAACAAAGTATGAGCTTGAGAGCTTCATTAGCACAGAGGATGGTTTCTATGTACAGTTTGAGGCCCTAAGGTAATGAATATTTCTGTAGCATGGCACATACAAGGTTAACATCATGATGGGAATCCAAGGGAAGTAGCTGGCCAAGAGCTTCACTGGTTTTATTTTTTTAAAAATTCCTTAATTCGGTTTTACACAAGCAAGGTGTTCTTAACTTGTCCTGAAACATAATTTCACTAACAAAAGAAGGCACCAGAGAGAAGAGAAGTTTAAAATGTTGTGAGCAGGATGGAAGTCCTTGGGAGACCATTCCTTGGCTGGTTTCCTCAAGTACCTGCCACCTCTAACTGTAAGAAAAGCATCAAAAGACTACAGCTTCCCACAGGATGCACACGCCTGCAGTGTGCACTAATCTCAGAATCAAGCTGCTCAGTCTGTGCATGGTTACTTAGTGATGATGGCCATGATGCTCAATTCTCTGAGAGTCATCAGGAAAGGCCATGGATGTGGTAGGAAAGACCATTGGGGGGGGCGAGGATTGTGTACCTTAAGTGAAAGGCCATCCTTTAATGCTGAAAAGACCATTCATTCTAAGTACAAAGAGAATGGGAAAGCAGGCGGAGGCCAGCATCACTGGGTGTATGAAGCATCATGGAGTAAAGGCAAAGGCATGGAATGTAAAATTAAGCAAAAGTGGAAGGATTAAAGAAGTCCAAGTTAAATTCTCTTAAATAACAGCATATCCTTGTCAGAAGGCAATGTTCACATTGTTTCTTTTGTTGTTGTTGAATTGAGGATTATTGGCCACCAAATGGAAATGAGTCAATTCTGTTCTCATTTCTACAAAAGGGGGGGATTACTTTCCCCCAGTTAAATTTTGTTATTGTTTTTAGTTCTTACCTGAGGAAGATTCTAGTCTGTCCAATTTACTAATTAACCAGTCAAGGTTATTGGAGAATTGAGCACAGTTGTTTCTATTTCCACGAATGAGAGCAGCTGAAACCGAGGGGGGAAAATTGAACATATAGGTTAAAGGGCATAATGATGGATAAAGACTTGGAAAGCTGTTGAGTGATTGACAAGCTTAGCTCCGAAAAAGTCCCGAATGGCAATCTTGTCCTGTCTGGCCCTTTGAGAATCCCCAGTCTTACATTTCGGGGAATTAAAAATCTATCATTTACTCCCTCTCTCACATGTACACTGTCTACATGGCCTTTGCATACATTCTTGGCTACCACAGCTGACAACGTCTAGCTCTAATTTGGAAACTACAATAAACTACTAGTTAACAGTGATTAACCAGGTTGGAAGAGAATGCTTAACAGATGGCCTCGAAGGCATTCTAAACTTCAAGTTAACAACCCATGTAGCCTTGCACATCGTCCCCGGGAGGAGGTGCTGCCTGTGTACTCACCTAGCAATTTGTAGAGCAGGTTCAGGATTTCTTTCCAAGCCGTGCCACTCTCTTCCCTTGCGATCCCTGCAAAGTGTGCTACGCTATTGTAGATATTTAAGCGATCGATGCAGTTCAGTACCAGGGCCAACATTCCCTGGGGAGAGTTGAGGAAGAAATCATCAGCATTTTTGACAAAAAAAAGGCACTGTGGATCCCTTAGTTCACTTTTCTCCCATACCCATCACCTCCCAAAACTGACAGTACTTATATGGCAACAGATTTTCATGGTGCCAGCAGAGCTTTTTCTTCTTAAAAACAAAATACACATTTTTTATGCCTTGTAGACCTAAATAACATCCATTTGTGCAGTGAGTCAGCAGTCTCTTGTGACAGGTTTGTCCCCATGTGCTGTGTTTCACTCAGTCCAAGGACACAGCTAGGAAGACAGAGTGTGAATGAGACACGCGCAAACCTTCTTTCCATCTGATGGGAAGTGATTCTGACTCAGAAAATGCCCAGGGTCTAGCACCTGCTTCAGTCCTCACCCTCAAATTCAAGAAATCTTATTCATATTATGGTTTCTGATTTTGTGATTTATGAGATTTCTCTGTGTGAGAGTCTGCGTGACTCTGTGTCTGTATGTGTACTTGTACATTTTTCTAAGGAGGGGTGTCTTTTTCTCTTTATTTTTTCCTACTATTTTTTTTATATTTTTAGTGCCTTTTTGTTTTCTAATGAGAGAGAGAGACAGAAATGGTTTGGATTTGGGTGGGGTGTGTGGGAAGGATCTGGGAGGAGTTTGGGGATGGGTAATTGTGATCAGAATATACTATATGAAAAAATCTATTTTCAATTAAAAAGTGAAATTAATTCATTTGCACGAGACAACCATGTTCACTTTCCTTAGGTGGGGTTTAAAGACAAGAAGCCTAAAGAGCATTTTCAACCGCCTGTCCTACATTCTTATAAGGTGATGGCATCCCACAAGAACATCTGAGCCTACTCATTAGTAATGCATAGGAAGGAGATGGTGAATGTCCTTTAAATAGTCTACAACACATGCAGAATGCCTCCAAGTCTTCCTTTGCTAAGATCTGAAGACTGGACAGGGTTGTTGTATATCCCACATCAACAATGTGGGATGAATCTGCAGGCATGGAGTGCTCGGGAAGTCCACCACAGCCTAGTGGCACCAAATCACTATGCCTGATTTCAGAGGAGGCCATGACTGCAAGCAGGAATGGGGCCAGAAAAGGCTGAGTCTCAGGACACCACACTATCATTTAATGTTTCCTTCACATTCAGCCCCTACCCCAGTGACTCAGATGTTCACTGTCTAATAGCAGATACGCCATCATCTGTCTCCTTCAAACCCACTTCCCAGATACTTTTGTTGTGATGGAATATAAGCATTTGCATTTTTCAAACTGGTTTCCTAGGTAATTCTGACATATCCCAAAATTTGTGGCTCCCAACCAACGATGTGCTATAACAAGCTGATATTTTGTTTGTGGATTCTGGATACAGATTCACAATAAAGCATCAAATCCTAAACAGTCTGAATGGGCCAACCATCATTAATTTACCACTGGTGGGTGTCATGGAATATCAATCCCCAGTAAATCCTTTTCTTTCCAGCTTCTGGGAAGCTTCTTATTCTTGAGTCTGCTCATGAATATGTACATGCCTACAGACAGAGCTAAGCTGCAGCCATAGGGGTATTTTACTCTGAATGCAAAGGGAATCAATCAACCAATGGATCCAATCGATCAATCAAACTCTCTTGACTTACCTCCTCCTTGAAAAGATTCTGTCTGTTTTTGAGAGAACGGAGCTTATTCTGTTTGTCTTCATGTTGCATCTCCTCCTCTGGTGGCTGGAAGTAGGCAATCAAGTCCTGTAGGGTCTGCAGGACCTCTTCTATAGGCAAGGTGACAGGGGCAGTTGTGCGATTGTTTCCACTAAAAAAGTCATGAGATGACATTGTTCAGGCACCAGGCACCAGCAGGGCACTGATGAATGTCTACTGGGTCCTTATTCCTTCCAGCTCCTTCCAGGGCACAGTGAACTGCTTGCTGGGGTAGCCATTGCACCAACAGCCAACAACAATGACATGTACCCAGCAACACAGCAGTGGGAGACAATATTTGTATTCATTTAAAGCTGTGTCATAAACAAGGGAACATGATTCTTTTCGGCACATTTATTTTCAAGAAACTTGCAATATATTCTGATGCATTGCTGTGCTCAGCACTCAGTGCCAAACAGGCAGTCACTGAGAGTCTAATGGTGATTTCTGTGGAATCTAAAGTGGGGATATCGACTGTGATTACTAGGATGCTGGTTTCTGTCTGCAGCAGATGGTTCACTTCCATTCATTCTTGTCTACCTGTCACACTTTCTCTTTAAATAAACACACTTGGAAAATATGACAAAGGTATTAACCTTTAAATCTGTGATACCTTTGTAGAATACATTAAACACCGGGCTGGAGGAGGTGGGGGGTCTCTGTATCTACACCATCTTGTCTTCTCCCTCTCCCCACATACTTTCTCTTTCCAAGTGTCTTCTGATGCATGTGTGTATGGTTTGTATTTGCATGTGTGCACACACCTGTTTTCTGTAATCTAAGTGTTAATGTCAGCTTTGCTCTCTGCATCTGTTTCCTACCTTTGGATCCTTCTCCCCTTGGATTCCCTCCCTTTGCACATACCTCCCTTTCCAGGCTCTCTTAGCTTAAGTGTCTGCTCCTCTTGGCTTCTGTTGATTCTTGATAAACTTGAAGGGCTACTGTCAATAACTTGGCTTTATGCATATTTCGGAGAGTCTCTATATACCACTTTGCTCATTTGTCCTCCTGCACAGTTCTTAGCAACTGTACAGAGGGTGAAGAAGAAACAATGGAATTTTACTTCCTTCATAGCTCTCTCTTTTTCTGTTCCTATTATATGATCTAAATTTGCCTTTTTGGAAGGCTACTGCATACTGTGCCTTCTCAGAAGAGATGAAAGACAAGAGTCTGTTTCCAAATTACTTTTCCTCTTCCATTTTCTAGCTGTTACAAAGTTGTCACTTCTGCTGCATGGATTTGTCATTAGTTGTTCTTTCTTCTAAAAGACCCTATGGTGACTGGGAGAAATAAGAGCTCCATTGAGGGTGAAGAGTCTAGAAGAGCTGAAGAAGGGAGCTCATTGTATAGAAAAAGTTGACAAAATTGAATAAAATTCAGGATTCTGAAAACTGGCCAAATGTATATGTATCAAATAGGGAGATGGTGTTTTTGTTTGTTTGTTTGTAAGCAAACCTTGGCAAGAACAGTGGGAGTCTGTTGCCTTTTAGGTTAGGGAAGCTTTTCAGTCAGTCAGTTTCAGGGCAAAGATTTCTAATCCAGATGGTTTCTTTTGTATAGCATTTTCAAAGACCGTACAAAAACACTGAGCTTCATGGGATGGGGGAAAGATCCTTGACCAGGGTCCATGCCATCTATTTATATCTAGGTGAAGATGGGGCCTCAAGAAGATATAAAGTAAACTCCAAGTTCGAACTGTAAACTTCCTGAATTTCAAACGTATTTTGCAGCCAAACATAGACTCATCAGTGAATGTTAGACAAGAAATGCTAAAGGAAGTCCTTGGGAAGTTAATGACTACAAACAGGAGATAGCACCCACACAAAGAAATAGAAAGGTGAGAAGGCATTATAATGAAACAAGTATTCAAATATGATGTTCTGTTTTGGTCTTCTAATTGATTCAACAAACCATTTTGTAAAACAATCATAATAAAGCTGTATTGTTATGCCTGTAACAAATGGAGACATCACCATGGCAATGTTACAACAAAGGGGGAGGGAGAGAGTAGAACAATACTGGGATAAAGATGCTTTACTTAAGTAAGCATGAAGTTTGAAATAGGTTATTTCAAGTTACATATACATTGGTATTACTAAGAAGAAACACAATAAAATGAAAATAAAAAATTCCCCAAAACTAAACCAGTATATTAGAAATATATACTTAACTTTGAAGAAGGTAGTAAAAGATAGAACAAAAGAGAGAAACAAAAAACAGTAAAATGACAATTATAAATATAAGGATTTACTTAATTAAGCATAAATGCATTAAATACACTGACAAAAAAACCAATTGTCATACTTGAGTTGAAGAAAAAAAACCCTAATATATGAAATCTCCAGGAGACATGGCTGAGAGTCAAAGCTGCCTATGAGGTGAAGTGTAGGAATGAAGAAGTTCTGTATGTGTGATACTCAGGGACTCTACAAAGTTGAGTGAAAAGGTGTTTGTAGAGAAGACAAGATAATTATAATTTCAAAAGAGTCAACTTCTCAAGGCAATGTGCATATTAAAAAATAAGCATATGATAACTTATGAAGAAAAACATACAGCCTCAAGTCAGAAGACAAAATTCTGTAACAGTAAGACATGTCAATACCTTATTCTCAGTCACTTAAAGTAATAAATCTTATTAACAAAGGACCAGAACACAAGGCAAAAAAAAGTATTTGACAAAATCTAAGTCCCATTTAAGACCAAATTTCTAGAAACAGATGGCTTGATAAAGGGCATTTTCAAAGACCCTACAAAAACACTGAGCTTAATGGAGGGGGAGAATCCTTGATGTTTTCTTCCTAAGATTAGAAATAAAACAAGAATATCTGCTCACAGTATCATTAGCATACATAGCACTGGAGGTTCTAACCAGTAAAAGCAGGGAAAAAAGAAATAAAGGGCATTCTGACAGGAAAAGAAAAATAATACTCTTTTCATTCATAAGTTACCTGATGTTTTTTTTCTAGAAAACTCTTAAAACTCTACACTAAAATGAAGTCCCTAGAATTAAAACACAATTTTAATGATGTTGATAGATACATGATTAACATTTTAATAATAGTAAAACATATATACACATAAAATAAATTAAAATTTAAAAAAATTAAAAAGAAAATGAGAAGAAAACTCACAGATTAGGATACAATACTTATAAGTCATAAGTTTGGTAAATGATTTGTACTAGCAAGTTCACTGAACTTACAAATCTCAATTAGAAGATAAATGACTCAATTTTTGAGAGGCGAACACATTTGATTACGCTGCACCAAAGAAGATGTATAGATGGCCACAAAACAAATGAAAAGGTGTTTTGATACCATTATTCATTCTGGAAATGCAAATCCACACCATTCCACTTCATCTATACGATGGCTACAATCAAAACACTGACTAAAAGCAAATAGAGGCAAGGATGCAGGGAAAATGAAACTTCATTCATCTATGAGGGGCTCTAAATGATATATACCCCCTCGGAAAGAGTTCTTTCCAGTTTGTTAAAAGTTAAGCATGCCCCACATGGCAATGTATGCCTGAAATTTCAGCACCATGGAGGCTGAGTCAGGAGGATCAGGAGATTAAGGTCATCAGGGGCAATACAGGAATGTGCAAGACCCTGAGTTTAATACCAGCAGAGAGAGAGAGAGAAAGAGAGAGAGAGAGAGAGAGAGAGAGAGAGAGAGAGAGAGAGAGAGAGAGAGAGAGAGGCAGGCAGGCAGAATGACAGACAGACAGACAGAGACAGAGACAGAGAGACAGACACACACACACACACACAGAGAACAACAACAACAAAACAGTAGATATACTCAAATTTCAACTGATGAATGGGCAAACAAAATGTGGTGCGTGCTTTCAATAGAATGGTTATCATCTTTGGAAAGGAATGAAATTTTGATAAATGAATCAAACACTAAAATCATTTTGCTATGTGAAATAAACGATGCACAGAGGGGCTAATATTATGCAGTTCCGCTTCTATGATGTACTTAGGAAAGTAAAATGCATAAACACTGTAAGGAGAATGGGGAAGACTAGTAAACTGGCACAAGGATTATAGTGTGCTTGATGGCGAGTGGGGACGGCTGCACAGCAGTACAAATTCACTCAAAGCCATTGAGATGAACACCAGAAATGACTAGTGGGGACTAGGGTGATGACTCTGTGCAGAAAGTGCTGGCTCTGCAAGAAAGATGACTTGAATTTGGATTCCCAGGACTTGTGCAAAAACCATTCATCACGTTGAGCGCTGGCAAAGACTGGGTGGGGGGAACAGAGTTAGTCAGTCGAGCCAACCAGCAAGTTCCATGCTCAGTGAGAGATTCTGTCTCCAAAAGTGAGGAGGGGGGGCAATAGAAGAAGACACTTAACATTGACTTTTGGGCTTCACATAAGAATACAAGGCAACGTCCGGAGGCATCACCATCCCTGACCTCAAGCTCTATTACAGAGCTATAGTCCTGAAAACAGCTTGGTATTGGCACAAAAATAGGCAGGTAGACCAATGGAATTGAATTGAAAACCTGGGTATTAACCCACACATGTATGAACATCTGATCTTTGACAAAGAAGCTAAAAATATACAATGGAATAAAGAAAGCATCTTCAACAAATGGTGCTGGCATAATTGGAGACTGGCATGTAGAAGAATGCGGATCAATCCATGTTTATCGCCATGCACAAAACTTAAGTCCAAATGGATCAAAGACCTCAACATAAATCCAGCCACACTGAACCTCTTAGAAGAGAAAGTGGGTGGTACCCTTGAACGAATTGGTACAGGAGACAGCTTCCTGAACATAACACCAGTAGCACAGACAGTGAGATCAACAATTAATAAATGGGACCTACTGAAACTGAGAAGCTTCTGTAAGGCAAAGGATACAGTCAGCAAGACAAAAAGGCAGCCCACAGAATGGGAAAAAATATTCACTAATCCCACATCTGACAGAGGGTTGATCTCCAAAATTTACAAAGAACTCAAGAAGCAAGTCTCCAAAACACCAAAGGACCCTATTAAAAAGTGGGCTGCAGAACTAAATAGAGAGTTTTCAATAGAGGAGTCTAAAATGGCTGAGAGGCACTTGAGAAAGTGCTCAACATCCTTAGCCATCC